GCTTGCTAACGTTGGGTTGGGAGCTATCTGGGGATTTTGGGTGGGGAGAGAGGGGCTTGGAGGAGGAGGAGGAGAGTTTGATTTATACCCCGCCCTTCACTCAGAGTCTCAGAGCGGTTTACAGTCTCCTTCCCTTCCCCTCCCCACAACAGGCACCCTGGGAGGTAGGTGGGGCTGAGAGAGCTCTGAGAGAAACTGCCCTTGAGAGCACAGCTCTGAGAGAACTTGTGACTGACCCAGGGTCACACCAGCAGCTGCGTGTGGAGGAGCGGGGAATCCAACCAGGTTCTCCCAGATTAGAGTCCGCGCTCCTCATGACTACACCAGACTGGCTCTCTTCGTGTAGAGGCAGGACCCGAGCGGGGCACAGCGCTATCGTGTCCACCACAGCACTATTCAGTCCACCAGGGGGACTGAAGTCTGTCATCTGGAGGTCAGTTGCAAACTTGCTCTTTTCATCAGATCTCAGAAGCTAATGAGGGTCGGCCCCGGTCAGGACTTGAGCGGGAGACCACCAGTGTTCCCTCTAAGCTGAGTGAGTGTGAGCTAGCTCACAGTTTTTTAGCCTCCGGCTCACACATTTTTGTCTTCGCTCAGGGAGAATGGCTGCCAGAGCACACTAATTTATGCAGCAGCCCAAACGTTCGCTCACCGCTTTAATGCCAGTGGCTCACAAAGGAGAACTTTTGCTCACGAGACTCCACAGCTTAGAGGGAACATTGGAGACCACCCAGGAAGCCCAAGGCTGCTACGCAGAGGCAGGCAATGGAAGACCACCTCTGAACACCTCCCGCCTTGAGAACCCTACGGAGTCGCCAGAAGTCAACTGCGACTTGACGGCACTCCCCCCCCCCCAGTGTTGTCCGTGGCTCACGTCCAGGGAAGTCGTGGTGCTGATGGTGGTAAGCACGCACGTAAATGGGATATGTGCACACTGGACAGCGGATCCCTCTCCTTCGCCCACGTGCGCAGACGCTCACGCCCGGAGGGCGACCGGGCCTGCCTTCCGAACTGGAAGCACGGTAGCAGGGGGGAAATAACGATCCATCGGCAGGACGCGGCACTCGGGAAGGCCAGAGGTGGGAGAGCAGCTTTCCTGTCCCCGCATGGCTTCTTCCCTTCCCCTCCCTGCCTTCAGTTGACCGAGATCCTGAAATATCCATTGCAAATCCAGGCGAGGGAAAGATGTGTTTGCCTCCTGGAGACCAAAGCCATAAAAAGCTGGCCTGTCGGATTTGGTCAACAGATGTAGGGCCAAGAATTCCATTTCGTTGCAGGGATTTTGGGGGAAGTTGCTGTCACACTCTCTATTTAAGCCCTGGGTTGCCTGGCACTAGGGTTGCTGTAATGTATGCGGACCGCCACCAGGGGTCCGTGGCTAAAGCAGGAGCTTGGTCCCCAAACACAAGTCCACCAATAGCACCCTTGGCGGGAGATTCAAACCCTCCAATGGGGACAGAGGTGTGCCGGGTGGAGTGTATATAGTTGGCCTTGCAGGGCCGTTTTGTGTGTCTTCTTGTGAAGTACAGTAAACGCATCTGAATGCATGTCATGGTCCGAGTCCTCCATGCGTCGAACCCAGTACTTTTTAGTTGCCAACTCCAGGTGGGAAAATTCCTGGAGGTTTTGGGGGTCTGAGTTTCTGTGAGTCACTGCTTACTACGCGAAAGCTCATCCCCTTTCTCAAATTTTGTGAGTCTTTAAGGTGCTGCTGGACTTTTGCTCTTTCCTGCTGCTGCAGACAGACTAACACGGCTGCCCACCATGGTCTGTCTGAAGAAGGGAGCCGTGACTCACGAAAGCTCCTCCCCTGCCACGAATTTTGTTCGTCTTTAAGGGGCTACTTGGACTCTTGCTCTTTTCTGCCGCTGCTGTTGTTCAGTCGCACAGTCAAGTCCGACTCTTTGCAACGCCATGGACCCCATCACACCAGGCCCTCCTGTTCTCTGTTGTCCTCTGGAGTTTGCCCAATTTCATGTCTGTTGCCTCGATAACACTGTCTAACCATCTCATCCTTTGCCGCCCCCTTCTTCTTTTATCTTCAGTCTTTCCCAGCATCAGGGTCTTCTTCTCCAGTGAGTGCTCCCTTCTCATTGGGTGGCCAAAGTATTTGAGCTTCAGTTTCATTATCTGGCCTTCCAGGGAACAGTCAGGGTTGATTTCTTTTAGGGTTGACTGATTCGATCTCCTTGCAGTCCAAGGGACTCTCAAGAGTCTTCTCCAGCACCATAATTCGAAAGCATCTATTCTTCGGCACTCGGCCTTCCTTATAGTCCAACTCTTGCAGCCATACATGACTACTGGGAATACCATTGCTTTGACCATACGGACTTTTGTTGGCAGGGTGACGTCTCTACTTTTTATTATGCTGTCTACATTTGCGATCACTTTCCTTCCAAGGAGCAGGCGTCTTTTAATTTCATGGCTGCAGTTCCCGACTGCAGTGATCTTGGATCCCAGGAACGTGAAGTCTGTCACTGCTTCCATGACCTCCCCTTCCACTGCCAAGGAGTGATGGGGCCGGATGCCATGACCTTAGGTGTTTTTTTTCCATGTTGAGTTTCAAGCCAACTTTTGCGCTCTCCTACTCTGCTACATCTGGAGCTGCGGTGGCTCAAGTGGTTAAGATGCTGAACTGCATGATGTGGAAGGTCAGTAGTTCAGCAGTTCGAGACCCAAGTTGCCGCATGACAGAGTAAGCTCCCGTCTCTAGTTCCAGCTCCTACCAACCTAGCAGTTCGAAAGCAAGAAATTGCAAGTAGATAAATAGGGACCACTTCGGTGGGAAGGTAACAGCGTTCCGTGCGCCTTGGTGTTTAGTCATGCCGGGCACATGACCACAGAAACATCTTCGGACAGCGCTGGTTCTTCGGCTTTGAAACGGAGATGTGCACCGCAACCCTAGAGTCGGAATCGACTGGCTTTCGAGCAAGGGAGAACTTTACCTTTACCTTTACTCTGCTACAGACAAACTAACATGGCTGCCCGTATTGATCTATCATTAGAAATCATTTTTGTCTTCAAAGGATTCTTGCTCTATCGCTTAGGTGAAAGTGATTGAAGACCTTAATCCCCCCCCCCCTTTAAAAATGTAATGCTTTGTCTTAAGACCTTTTATTTTTTTTCATATTGGTTCGTCTCAATAAGAGGTACTGTGTGGTTTAGTTTTGGGGGGCTTGCTGTGTGCCAACATGGCTGGCCTACTTTTTAGACGTTTATTAGGTTTTATCGATTAAACTTTGCTTATGAAGCTTAAGTGATTTCAATTAAAGTTTGTTTACTAATCTTTTTGCAAGGTCTCCGGACAGTAAATGCCACATGTGTCCCATCTGGAGCAGTTGTCTGTTTGTGGCATTTTGTAAATTAAAGGACCGGGGATTAACTCCTTTTTGTTGTTCAGTCGCACAGTGGAGTCCGACTCTTCGCGACCCCATGGACCACATCACGCCAGGCCTTCCTGTCTAAACATTCAGCAGTTGGGGGGGGGGGGCTTTAGCTTCTGTTTCTGTGACTGTGTTCCAGCTGTCGTTTCAATGAAGTTCAGATTCCAAAAGAGAAAGAGAGCCAGTTTGGTGTAGTGGTTAAGCGTATGGACTCTGCTCCTCCCCATGCAGCTGCTGGTGTGCCCTTGGGTCAGTCACAAGTTCCTTCATAGCTGTTCTCTCAAGGGCAGTCCTCAAAAGAGCTCGCTCAGCCCCACCTATCTCACAGGGTGCCTGTTGTGGGGATGGGAAAGGAGTTTGTAAGCCTCTCTGAGACTCCTTTGGGCAGTGAAGGGCGGGGTATAAGTCCAGTCTCTTCTTCTTCTCTTTCTCTCTCTCTCCTCTTTGAATGGATGCAGGCCTGAATGTTCCTGCATATCCTGGCTGTGAGCAAGATTGCCAACTCTGGGATGTGAATTCCTGGACATATGGGGGGGGGGGCAGAGCTCAGGAAGGCTGGAGTTTGGGGATGGATAGGAACGCAGCAGGGATGTGATGGCGCACACTCCACCCTTGTAAGCTGACATTTCCCCCAAGGGAATTCTGGAGATAGATGGAAGACTCTGTCTGGGTTTTGGCCACTGTGTGACCCAGAGTGTTGGACTGGATGGACCACTGGCTTGATCCAACATGGCTTCTCTTATGTTCTTATGTCTGGGGTAATGATGCTCTGTCTTCTTGGTGCTGGGGGGGGGCAACAGTGGGAGGGCTTCTGGAGTTCTGGCCCCACTGGTGGACCTCCTGATGGCCCCTGGCTTTTGGCCACTGGGTGACCCAGACTGTTGGACTGGATGGGCCACTGGTCTGATCCAACATGGCTTCTCTTATGTTCTTATGTCTGGGGGCAGGGATGTTCTGTTTTCTTGGTGCTGGGGGGGGCAAGAGTGGGAGGGCTTCTGGAGATCTGGCCCTGCTGGTGGACCTCCTCATGGCCCCTGGGTTTTGGCCACTGTGTGGCACAGAGTGTTGGACTGGATGGGCCACTGGTCTGATCCAACATGGCTTCTCTTATGTTCTAAGAGACAATTCTGGGACAACTCCAGATAGGATTGCCAGGTCCCAACGACGCACCAGCGGGGGAGGGTGGGAGGGGACTTTTTGGGAGTGGGGGGGAGCTCCGCAATGCACCTACGTCACCCAGAAGTGATGTAGGCACGTTGGAGACGTCAGGTGGTGACACTCTGGTTATTGGGCAAAACTCTATGGTAGAATTAGCAACGAGCCATAGTTTTGCCCAAAAACCAGAGCGTTGCCGCCTGACGTTCCTAAGTCACTTCTAGATGATATGGGCATGCCGAGTTTATTTCCGGCTTCTTGGAAGTAAGAGAGGGTAATGTGGGGGAGCGCCCCAAAGCAGGAGACCCCCCCTCTGCCCGGACCAGGGGGCCTGGCAACCCTAACTCCAGTCCTGGCCTGGAGATTGGCGACCCTAGCTGCGAGTAATGTCGCTTCTTCTCAAGTCTACTTTCCCCAGGTTCCTAACCCAGTGGGTTTTGTGTCTCCTCCTAGGGTTCTCCAGATTGCCTCTCCGTTCCTTCCGCTCTCGATGGACATCTCCTGGCTGCAGTCCGGTCCCATGCCCTCCCGTACGGATATCCCCAGGCAAGCACCACTGTAACCAGTTTGGGGAAGGGGGAGCGTCTCAAAGCCATGGGGAGCTTCTACAAGGACTACTTCAACTCCTGCAAAATCTTGCAGCACTACAACTACACCAAGGACAGGCTGGAGAAAGACAAGGACCCCTCGCTGGGCCCCGTCACGGTGGCCATCATCGTCTTCTGCTGCTTCATCATCCTGGAGAACCTGCTGGTGCTCATCTCCGTCTGGAGGAACAAGAAGTTCCACTCGGCCATGTACATCTTCATCGGCAACCTGGCTTTCTCGGACCTTCTGGCCGGCGCAGCCTTTATCGCCAACGTGGTCTTCTCAGGCCCGGCGACCTTCCTGCTCACCCCGCTGCAGTGGTTTGTGCGGGAGGGGACGGCCTTCGCCACCTTGGCGGCCTCCGTCTTCAGCCTCTTGGCCATCGCGATCGAGAGGCACGTGGCCATCACCAAGGTGAAGCTTTACAGCAGCGACAAGAACTGCCGGATGGTCCTACTGATCGGGGCCTGCTGGGTTATCTCGGCTATCATCGGGGGGATGCCCGTCATCGGCTGGAACTGCATGAATAACCTCGACGAGTGCTCCACCGTCCTTCCGCTCTACTCCAAGCGCTACATCTTCTTTGTGGTTACCGTTTTCACCCTCATCCTGTTGTCCATCGTGGTCCTCTACGTCCGGATCTACCGCATTGTCCGTTCCAGCCATGCGGAGATAGCGGGCTCCCAGACTATGGCCTTGCTCAGGACCGTGACTTTCGTCCTGGGGGCCTTCATCATTTGTTGGCTGCCGGCCTTTATCGTCCTGTTAATAGACGCTTCGTGTCCCAGGAAGGCATGCACCATACTTTACCAGGCAAAGTATTTCTTTGCCTTCGCCACCCTCAATTCCGCTATAAACCCCCTCATCTATACCCTGCGCAGCAAGGACATGAGAAAAGAGTTCCTGCGGGTGCTCTGCTGCTGGGGGATGATGGGGCAGGGGAAACCCGCCGAACGGTGCATGATCCCCCTGCGGAGCTCCAGTTCCTTGGACCGGTGCACCCAAAAACAGGATCTGACCACTGCACCTTTCATGAAGGAACGTTCCACTTTTGTTTGAAGGGACACGAGGAGAGGGATCATGGGGGTGGCTAGACCCCCGCAGAGAGAAGGGGTTTTGGTAGACCCCCCCAAGAGAGAGGTACAAAAAAAGAGATGCGGTACATGGTGTGAAAATATTGTCCCGGCGGCTCGATCTGCGTGCCATGTATATGCAAGGTGTCCGTTGGGTCACCAGACCTGCACAGTATTATAATTATCTCTGTTTTTTAAAAAGCCTGGGTAGGAAAGACAGCGTTAAAAGTGTGACGGGTCTGGGGAATGGGTAGCAACGGCGCTCTTGACATCTGACTCGGTACGATTCTCCATCCTAAAAGGTGCCTGGACCTGCCTGTACACCCACACTTCTTTCCCTCCAGCACCTCAGAGCAGGCTTGCTGGTTCCCATCTTCATGATTCACTCGCGCCCTTTGTCTTTCTCTGGGGGAGCAGCAATTAGTTGTTCCAATCCCCTGGGCCCCTTGCCGCTGCCTTGTCTGCACGTTGGGCCTTGGTTCGAAGGTGAATGTTGGAAGTGCCTAGAGGGAATAAAGAGGGCAGGGCCTACCCGAGGTTTTGCGCCCCTCCCTGGGTGAACTACCACATTGGTAACTCCGTTCGGTAGAGGGAAGGACGAGAAGTCCAGGAGGAATGTTTTACTTACTGGGCATTCAGAACGAGCCATGTCAAAATAGCCACAGAGGATGATAGTCAACTGCCGTCCGGTTGCAAGCAACCCATTGATGGCGCCCTCTCGTAGGGTTTTCCGGGCAGAAACGAGCGGAGGTGGTTTGCCATCACCTGCCTCCGCGTAGCGACCCTGGACTTCCTTGGGGGTCTCCTGTTGGAGTTCGAAGCAGGGCCGACCCTGCTGAGCTTCCAAAATCTGGCAAGATTGGGCTAGCCGTCCAGATCAGGGCAGAGACAAACAGGGGTGGTTTCCTGTTGACTCTCCCTGCGTAGGGACCCTGGACTTCCTCAGTGGTCTCCTGTCCAAGTACTAACTAGGACCAACCCTGCTTAGCTTCTGAGCTCTTACAAGCTTCAGGCTAGTCTGGGGCTATTCAGGCGGCTAAAAAACGGGTGAGCTCCTCAAAAGCCCCCCACGGTCCATCATGGTAGCTACAGAAGACCGGAGACTACAGGTATGGAGAATCTAGAAGCCAGTTGACCCCATGCTCTCCCCTTCAAGCCAGCAGAGGAGGATCCTGTTGCGTTTTTGGCAAAATGGGGTGCCCTAGGCCATTGCCTCAATTTGCCTAGGGGTTGTGCTGGCCCACCATGGGGAAATCATTCAGAAAGTGTTAGGCCTTTGGAGTGTTACTGAATGGACATCCAAGCAGGGCCATGTCAAGGTATTTTGTCGCCCCAAGGAGGGAGCACCCACCCCACCCTGAGCCCCTGTGGTGCTGCGAACCCAGGGAGCGAGCCGAAACCCTGCAGTGCGGCGGTGCCCTCCTTGTTGAGCCCCCCCTCCCCAAACCACTGCCTCTAGGCCAGGGGTCCCCAACTTTTTTGACCCTGCAGGCACCTTCGGAATTCTGACACCGCATGGTGGGTGCGGACACAAAATGGCAGACACAAAATGTCTGCCGCAAGAGGCAGAACCAGACACAAAATGGCCGCCGCAGCTTTACCTCAGTCACGCAGTGAAGGTCCTTGAGTTGTGGTGGCAGCTGCTGCCAGAGCAACATTTTTTAAAAAAATCTGCACAGCCAATCAAATCTCCAGTAGCCATTCAGAAGCCTTGCTGGGCCAAAGGCCCTACCTGGCCCCACCCACTTCCTTAAAACACTTTCCGGGTGCCAGAAAAGGTGTCGGCACTCGGCAGGTACCGTGGCGCCCACGAGCACCACGTAGGGGACCCTTGCTCTAAGCCTTGCCACTATTAACCCTGTTCCCCACGTGCCAGCTTTTAGCGAGACCAACACAGACTGGGGATTTCATTGGCACTAGGTAAATCCAGGCTTCTGTGCGCCGGCTGTGAGACTCCTTAGAACCATTACAAAATCCTGGTACAACGATGGACGCTCTGGTCTTAGTTAATGAAATGTGTCATGCCGCTAGGGGTCATTTTGACAGAGGCCGCTCTCCCACCAGAGGACGGGTCCAGTCGCTGCCAGCACCAGTATCTTCCGTGGGCCGGAGAGCCACCAGTCGCAAAATCCCAATGAGTCTGCCCTTCTTCTAGGTTCCCGTGTCTCGAAGCCTTCTGAAAGTTTCACTCTGACTGTATCAAGGGAGGAACAAATGGAATTTCGTCACTGCTCCTCAAGAAACTGATCTCTGCCGTCTGGAGATCAGCTGTCCTTCTGGGGGGGAACGCCGGGGCCCACCTGCAGTTTGGCGACTCTCACCTACCCCCACCGTAAAACTCGGTCTTGCTGGCTGAAACCGCATCAAACCTGTTGACAGGTGTGTTTTAAAGTTGGGGGGGGGGGTTTTAAATAAGTCAAGGGGCACCCCCGCACTCCCCCCCCCCAGGGAGCGCCAAAAATAAAATAAAAAATTGGAAGTCAGGGGAGAGGCCTGGGGGCTGGATGGGAAGTCAGGGGGGCCTTGGCAGTAATTTGGTGGGCCGGGCCCCGAGATGCCCCCCAGTAGCTACGGGCCTCTTGGCAAAGTGAAGGACGTGGCTGTGAGAGGGGATTTGCTAGCAGTGTGCTTTGGGAAGAGGGGCTCGGGCCCACCTAGGGTTACCAGCTTTGGGTTGGGAACTTCCTGGAGATTTGGGGGGGGTGGAGCCTCAGGCGGGGAGGGGCCTCAGCCGGGTCACAATGCCGTACAGTCCACCCCCCCAATGCTTCCATTTCCTCCAGGGGAACTGATCTGTTTAGTCTTGTAATTCCAGAAGACTGTCGGGTCCCACCTGGAGTTTAAAGGCAAAGCAAAGCTGTGTCAAAAGGATAGATAGCAAAGCTAATCTATAAATAAAGGCCCCAATCACACGCAGAAGTTGCCGCGGGATACTCACGGATGCCGGGCGGGTTTTACGGGTGCGATGAAACGGGCAAGCGTCGCGCACCCGTAGCCAACCAGTCCCGTCCGGCCGAAGACCCGGTGTTAAAAGGTACCTGTGAAAATCCACTATCAAAAGCTTGTGACAGGCCGCAGACGGACCTCCTCCATCTGATTGCTCCAGCGCGCTCTTCTTGCTGCGTTGAAGCATGCCAGAAACACACGCCGCCAGAAACAACCCCAGTCCGCCACCGCAGCGTCGGATCAGGTAGTACCGGATTAAATTGCAGCGGCAAAAATAGCCACGCGTCCCCCCGCTTTATCTGGCCCATGTGACTGGGGCCACAGAAAAACCAATATTACATGATACATACAAAAATGCCAATATTACATAGCACATAGGTTGCAGTCAAGTATTAAGCAATTACAGGTCAGGTGTATTATCAATTAATAAATCAATAACACATAGGCTGCAACAAAGCAATTGTAGAGGAGTCAAATGTAGGTCAGATGATTCAAGTTAGTAGAAAACAAAGGTTCCGGATGTTGACAACTTTGTCTCAAAAATCTTCTTCGGTAATAAATAAATACAAATAGGAAATAATTTCAGAAACCCAGAGGGGCATGGAAAATAATACAAAGCATGTGAAAAGGCGTTAACCTATTACAGTTTTCTGCAAACAAAGTCTTGGGATATAGACATCTCAGAAAAACATCCCATAAGGTATGTGAATGCAAAATATTAAATAGAATAAACCACCTCAATATAAAATGACTTACTTGAAAAAAGAAATAAATTGACAGCTTACCCTTAAGAAAGGATATCAGTTCCACAAATGGGCAACCAGCCATAAACGTCACAAACTTCGTTTCCCCCTCCCCTGTCATGGCCCCCCCTCACAAAAAGGGGGCTGGCTGTAGAAAACTGACCTCCTGCTTAGTGTTGCCACCCTCCAGGTGGTACCTGGAGATTCCCCGCTATTACAATTGATCTCCAGACGACCAAGAGGTCAGTTCCTGGAGAAAATGGCTGCTTTGGAGGGCGGGCCTTGTGCCCCACCGTGGTCCCTCCCCTCCGTAAACCCCGCCCCCCCCAGACTCTTGGCCCCAAATCTCCAGGTATTTCCCAACCCAGAGCTGGCAACTGCTGCCTCTGAACTTGGCAGCTGATTTTGACTCTGGGGGCTAAGAACCGTGTGCGTGCGCATTAAGGGAACCATTCCTCAGGACGACTGTTCCATCAGAATAATCCTGTCTTCTTCATCTGTCGGCGTGTGTCTCGGGGCGGGTGGCGCGGGGGCGGAGGATAGGGGGGTTTTTTTGTATACACCGCCTCTTTTTTTTTCCCTTAGGATGCCTTTCCCCCATCCCGACCTGAAATTCCAGTCCTTTAATTTCCAGCCCTGTTCAGTTAAACTGTTCCTTCTGCAGTGTGGGAACAAAGGATCGCCCTGTGTTTGGGGAGGGGCGACCGCTATCTCTGTGTGCATTTGAATGGTGTTCGAGTCCGGCGACACCTTTAAGACCAATGAAGTTTTATCCCGGGTTAGAAGCTTTTGTGGGCACGCACGCTTCTTCAGATACCAGATTTGTCTGTGTGTGTTTCTGTGTCAGGGGGAATGATTCCTCCAGGCCGGGATTGGGTGTGTTCCCTACCGGCATCTTGTGGCTGAAGGCGTGATTCACCCCGCACGATGTGCAGTGACATGCCAAGGGAAGGTGTGCGGGGGATGTTTTTATGAACGGGAATGAGAGGCAGGCGTGGGAATAACACCCCCTCCTAGGGCACGGGTGGCTGAGGCCCAAGGCTGGAGGAGGTGGGTAATAGCTTTAAGTAACCCTTCCTCCTCCTCCTCCTCTTCATTTACTCCCCCCCACACACACAACATTCTGCAAGCTTTTGAATTTCCATTGGAGTTTCAGAGCAATCCTCTCCTTGGGGTTTTTTTAAAAATCCCTTTAGCATTCCCGTAGCTGGGAATCAAGGGGGGGGGGTGGAATTAAGTTAGAAACAACATGCTTATCAAAGCCATAGGTTCTAAGCAGGATCCCATGGGCTGCAAC